ATCCAATGGGTATTAATAGATATCTAAGATTCATTAATCTTGGTTTGTTTTTTGAATCAAAAGGTCTTGGTTTAAATATTTCTATAATATTAGAATATTTTTCTTTAATAGATGTAAAAGTATGATTGGTGAATTCATTTATAGTTGTTCAGTTTATAGAAAGATCATGAGCCATATTTGTAATTTCTAACTTTTTTGCCATTATTCTTAATCTAAGGCAGTCTTCTATTAATGAGTCGTTAATAAAAATAAAATAATTTGGCTTTACTTTAAACCAAATAGGGCCTGATACATGATTTGATTGTATTCCTCTTATTAGTGTTTTAATAGGATTTTTAAATCTTTTATCTACTAATACTGCTATTATTGGTCTATCATTACCAACTTTGAATAAAGCCTTTATAGTTATCATAATTATTCCTAAATGTATATATCTAACTTCAAGATTTTTTGCTTAATTCTTTTAATTTTGTCTTTGGCAAATAAAAGAATATCTATAGATCGTTGATTAGAATCATTAGCTATAGTATTGTCACTAAATTTTTTTATGTGCCTTTTTATCCATGGTTTGAATTTTGAAAAGACAGAAAGTTTATAGATTTCATCTTTCTTTAATAATTGTAGTTTTTCTAACAATTCATCTGAAATAGTAACATCTTGTCCTAAGACATCACTTAATTTTGTCATTTGCTATTCTTCAGTAGGTATATCTTTAGTTTCATAACTAAATTGATCATTAACTTCTGATATAGTATTATTACTAAGATTGTTGCTTGTATTAAGCATAAAAATATACTCATCATCATCAAAGTCAGAATATGTTTCAGAAATTAATTCATAAATAATTTCATCTTCATAAACTTTTTCCCTAAAACAAATTTTTATATCTCATTCTTCAAGAGTTTTAATAACTTTTATAGTATTTTTTGCTTTTTTAAGACATTGAGGTGCTATATGACCTTTTTCATTAAAAATAAAATATTTGGATTTGGATTTGGATTTCTTTTTAGAAGTTTTGCTTCTAACAAATTTTTTTCTTTTTGTCAAATTTATCCTTTTTTGGCTTCCATTTGACTAACTTACATATTCTTTTCCTTTTATATTTCTTTGAATAGGTTTTAGATTGAAATTTACAACCAAATTTTCATTCATTTTCTAATATTTTTGTGTATTATTCATCACTTAATTTACTTTTTACTTGCTTAAAAGCCTTCGTTTTAAGGTAATATTCTATGATTTGTTTAGAAGCATAATAAATTATATTTCCTATAGAATATAAATAGTCTTTATTTTCTACTTTAGGGTTGTGAAGTTCTAAATATTTGAGATACTGTTGATTATAGAATTCATCCCATGGTGATGATAATTTATAAAAATATTGTTCTTTCCAAAATTTTGAATGTGATTCATCCAATTTTTTGTATTCATGAATATATTTTTTAAAAAATTCTTCTAAATGTCTTGTGTCACACAATTTTATTTTAGTCAATATGTAACTAGTTTCACTATTTTGATCAGCTGGTTCCATTCTATCACAAAATTCATTTTTTTAACATATTGGTAAGATTTTTTAATAAATTTGGTATAGTGCAATTTGATTTTAAAAGGTTTCTTTTTGAACTTTTCCTATTTTGGAGTTTTTTCATTTTTGCAAAAATTGTAAAACATCTCCTTGAAATGTTCCACAAAAATAATTTAAAATTTTTTTCTTTAGACCAAGTGTCTTTATAGTTGTTTACTATAATAGTTATAGATTGTGCCCAATCTTCTATATTTTTTCTATAATCATTTATATATATTTTTGAAAGATCTAAATACATTCCTCCTTAAGCTACAATTTTTTTGTTTAAAGATTCTATAAAACTGGATTATGGCATAGGTTTCATAATAGTTTCGAAAGATGTTCCCATTTGTTTAATCTGATCTTTACAAATATCATTTTGGTCTTATTTTCAAACCTATTTTTATCATCAATTTTTTTATTAGAAATTTTTCTTACTTTTCTTTTTTTTTTTTTTATCAACTTTTTGTTGATCATGATCCATAGATGTAGGCTTAGTATAAAATTATGATACGCAAATTATTAGAGTATAATCTAAATTCTAATGGTAAAGCATTACTTCTGCAGCTACATATAGTTGCTTTATATCCCAGTTTCTTTCATATTTATAAAGATGAGATTAAACAAATGGAAACATCTTTCAAAACTATTACGGAACTTATATCACAATCTAATTTTATAAAATCTTTAAACAAAAAAACTATACCTCAAGGAGGAACGTATTTAAATCTTTCAAAAATATTTATAAATGACTATGAAAAAATCATAAAAGATTAGGCACAATTTATGATTATTGTAGTAAACAACTACAAAGACACTTAATCTAAAGAAAATTTTTTAAATTATTTTTGTGGAATATTTTAAAGAGATATTTTGCAATTTTTACAAAAATGAAAAAACTCTGAAATAAGAAAAGTTAAAAAAGGAACCTTTTTAAATCAAATTACTACTATACCAGATTTGTTAAAAAATCTTACAAATCTGTTAAAAAATGAATTTTGTGGTATAATGGAATCAACTAATCAAAATAGTAAAGCTAGTTACATATTGACTAAAATAAAATTATGTGACATAAGACATTTAGAAGAATTTTCTAAAAAATATATTCATGAATGCCAAAAATTGGATGAATCACATTCATAATTTTAGAAAAAACAATATTTTCATAAATTACCATTACCATGGGATGAACTCTGTAATCAACAGTATCCCAAACATTTAGAACTTCACAACGTTACAATAAAAAATAAAGACTATTTAGATTCTATAGAAAATAGAATGTATTTTGCTTTTAAACAAATCATAGAATATTGCCTTAAAACAAAGACTTCTAAGCGGGTAAAAAGTAAATTAAATTATAAATAATGCACAAAAATATTAGAAAATGAATGAGAATTTGGTTGTAAATCTTAATCTATAACCTATTCAAAGAAATACCAAAGGAAAATAAGATATAAATTGGTCAAATGGAAGCAAAAAATGTATAAATTTGACAGGTTCATATTGATCCAATTTTAAGTATTTTTTATTATTTTGTATTTTAAAAAATTGTGAATAATGGAATTCTAACTGTTTACCTTTTATAATCAAATGAATTACTTCACCATTAAAACCAATAGTATTTTTTTTTGTTAAATGTTTATTGCTATTAATACTTATTTAATACTAAAAATCAAGTTTTCAAGAACAAAGTCTCACTTAATTAAGATTAATCTATTGGATGATTAAACTGAAAGTCAAAAATCTCATTAAACTAATTAGATTTTTAATTTCAATAATTTAAAAATCAAAATAACATAAATTCGAATAATTTAAATATAAAATTTGAACAACTTAAACTCCAAATAAATTGAACTTTTTTTTTTCAATCCAATTCAAAATACTTTTACCCAAATCTAACCGATCAATTGTCACCCCTATACTATCCATCGCAATACCAAAAATATCAAATAACTAACCTAGGGAAGTTAGCTGCTACCCTACTCATGACCTCTGCAGACTTGCATGTTTTGACTATTTGTTGACTCGTTTGTGCAATAGTGGGATTACCTATCTATCCTTTCACATATCCACATGACATCAGTTTTTCTCTATGACCTCATTCTTCAAATAAACTAAAATAAGACAGCCATGCAAGTAGGCATAACAACTATCCAAGTTTCATAGACAGCCCATATTTGCTTCCCTGTTTCTATGGTTCTTACAACAATAAATGCATTTTCAGATAAAGGCAGGCCAGATGAGATGACTAATCTATGCTTTTTCACAGTTATTCACAGTTCACACAATAAAGTGAGTTTGAACTATGAATGCAAAACAAAGACCAGACACTAGGTTTTACAGTTTTTTGAAATTTCCACAGGCACGAGCAAAAAAGATTTTTGAGTGCACCTAATTAGGAAATATATTATTGAGACCTCAACCTTACTCACCGGTATGACTTTTTTTTATTTGAGTGATAAATGTTCCTAAGTTTCACTAAGTACATTCCTTCTCAAATCGATCTAAACAGATTTAATTATATCGAATTTAGTGAATTCATGAATAATTACATTCTCACAAACTTCAAGCCGATTCAAACTCAGACAGACATCTAAAACTAAGATATGCGAACTGCCTTGTCACTTGAACCAAAATCTGTTGGTACCCTGTATGACATTAATAAAAATGAATGAAACTCTTAATTTCTAAGTGAACATTCATTATGGCACCCGAGCCTATCCACTCCTATGTCTGAATTCAAATTTAATGATTGAACGAGTAAAATAGCCGTTTAGATTCTTCTGAGTACTTTTCAAGAAATGATCATCAATGCACTTATCAAGACAGTCCAGGCAGGGCTAAAATCCCACTCGTGAACTGTAAATACCCTAGTTTGTAGATTGTCCTGAAAAGCACTGCAGAAGGGATTGAAGAGCACTGCACTGACCAAGTCCTTCAGTAAATATAGCATAATAGAGATACTTATCCAAGAAAGAAGCATACTGAAAAATTCAACTAGATTGGTCGTGATAGGACTTATGACTTGGAGCGAAATCTTGAGTATTTTTAACATCACCCAATCCAAGCATATTATCATGTCTAACATATCACAATAAATGTAACCAATAAGGTTTTATACTCACATTGGTTTGGGCAACAGATGAAAAAAATGGCAGCCCTTTTTGTAAGTGTTGTGTTTTCTGTAAACTTGAATAGCCACAGAAGGAGAGGTAATAACTTAGCAGACAACAAAGTCTCCTCTGGACTCATTTTTGGCAGCTCTACACCAAATATTGTTTTAAAATTCCCGAGTTAATAGCAGTAAACATTTATAATTCCCTAAGCCCAGAAGATATGTGCATCTCTCAACAATTACAAGGAATATTGCAATAGAGATTAAAAAAACCATGAAGTTACGAAATGAAATGGAAACATATAGTCTTAAGATTCACCAAAGGTATCACTACAGGTTTAGTTTGTTCACAAACTTCATTAAATTTAACATACTATAAAAAAGCACACGCAACTTACTAACTGTTACTACCATAATATATAACATAAAACCATCTTGAATACATTTAACAGCAAATAACAGAACCTAAATTACACTGAAACAGCTCTTCCGACCTTATCATTATGAATGCTCCAGAAGATTTTTACAGCTTCATCAGTGTTCCCAGAGTCAACAGCAATAGCACCAAGTACTGCTCGAAATGCCAAGCAAACTATGGTTGGGCTTGAAGGATCAGTCTTTGGAGAAACTCGAATTACTTTATGCAGTCCCAATCGTGCCCCATCAACAGCGCAGGAAGATTCCACATTGGAAATCTCCAATATCAGCTTGTTGAGTTCTTTGGACGACAAATCAATATCTTTCTCAAGAGAACGGAGGGAAACTGATGTCTCAATGACATGGCTGCCCAGAATGCTTAATGCCTTGTTGTTCTCCTCAGAAAAGGAGGCATGGGTCATGGCACGCCGGAGTAGACCAATGCTCTTAAAAGTAAAACTGAAGGTGGGTTTCAAACAAGCAACAAGCCTCATTTGTGTGTCATAATAAGAAAATCCAAGTAATAGATAAACAAAATAAATTAGATATTAAATTTATTGATTCAAGTTCCTCGGCAACCCCATGCATCAAAAAGTAAAGAAGTGAAAGATTATTACTTTAAATTAAAGGAAAAACAAAAACCTTATGAGAGAAAGGGTTTCAGAATTTGTTTATTGATTTTATTTGCTTTACAAGCCTAAATGGTTCATTTTTTTTCTCATTTCAGTTCTGGGTTTTCTTTCAATTTTTCAGTACTAAACAATTATACATAAGCAAAATAATTATCATTCACTGAATCGCTCATCAAAAGGGAGTTGATGATCTAAAGTAAAGGGACACTTCAAAGAAAAAGAAAAAAAAAACTTGCCCAATTTGTTTCTGTAGTGTCTCAAGAGCTTGTGAAAATGGTGAAGAAGGTTTAAAACTCCGATCTACAGAGTTTCCTGCTCCATATGCCTGCACTCACAAAATGGGTTTTCTTTATATTATTCACTAATTAACCTTCATTGCTTTCTTTACTTTACTTCCCTCTCTGATCTTTCTTTTTTAGGGTAACAAACAAGATTGATCAGGGTTCAATGATATACCTGAGGAAGAGAAGAGAAGAGCGTGACGAGAAAAATGGTGAAGACACTGAGGAGAGTGAAGCCACGAAAATGCATTTTTCTTTTTATTTAATGTGGTAATGCAGTAAGTGAAAGTCTACTTTGTTTTGTGAGTTTTGAAAACGCCAGAAATCTGGGTTTTATGATGTTTTTTCTCCTTCCCTATTAAGCCACTGACCTTTGCAACTAGTAGTAGACTGCTAGTATCAAGTACTTTAATTCCAAGTCAACCCATGCAAGTTAAGATTGTGTTCTAGTTTAAGGAATCAGGGTTAATAAAAAATATAAAATTAAAATGATTAATTCCAAGCCCTAAATGGCAACCTCAAATTGTCATTGTCAAGAAAACGTTATATTTGCGCCATGGCATGGTGCACTCTCATGCATCTCTTCCACACATGTTACACTTTGACACTATACGGCAGATGTACAAAGTGAATTTTAAGGAACACGAAGGATGTGCTCAAGATAATCTGACAATTTGCAAGTGCCACGTAAGAACATGTTCTTATATTTATAAAAGAGGGAGAAAAGGCAATTGCAGAATTGACCAATCCAATATATTTCATTTTCAGAATGCATTTCATGTTTTGACAGAAACCTGTTTTTGTACACAAAATAAAAATGCCGTCATGTCAGTAAGACTACCTATGACAACATATAACCTCAGAAGTATCAACTCCGCGTCCGAAAATACTTACACCAACCAACAACCAGCTATCAAACTATCTAGAGACAGTAAATATGCACTGATTGCTTTCCCCAGAGCCACCTACAAGTTCACCATGATCACTAGCATCTGTGTTTCCATTTCTATCTTATATCTGTGTCAGGCCATAAGCCACCATGAATCTATTCTTATACCAACGATCCGTCCAAGTCAAAGAAAAAAAATATATTTCAACCACCTAAATCCATACCGAGTCAATTCCATGCAAATCTGCTACCCAGTCTAATTTAATGCATAACGAAATCCTTCCAAGTATCAAACAGAATTTTCAAAAGAAACTTGAGTCTCTGTGTTGCTCCTTGACTTTGAGCTTGAAGCAGCAGCCAAGCCTTGAAGTAATGTTAATACGTCAACAGTATCATCTAGATAATACCTAGCTTTGCTTGGTTTTTGACCAACAGTGCAAGCAAAAATTTCTGGAGGAACAGGGAGAGTTGATCTGTAAGCTGTATTTGATATGCTTTCAAACATGTCTTCATCAGATCTATCATCACCAATGCACAAGACAAAATCAGGTGGTTTTCCATTACTTATCATGGTGGAAATAATTTTCTCTGCAACAAAGCCTTTAGTAACTCCCTGGCATATCAAATAGCTAATGTTAGGCTGTTGGGAAATAAGTAAAAATGCAGAGGCATAAAAGAAAATTAGGGTGAATAAAGTGAATTTATACCTGTGCCTTCACTTCAACAATTTGCTGGCCTCTTTTAACAACAACAGGCTCATTGGCAAGGACATTTTCCAGATGATCCAACATTTCCTTCGCTTGACAAGATCCAAAATCAGGGTCAGCATCTTGATGGTGCCATACTAAGGCACTCTCCTTAGGCTCTATATAGGAGCCATCAGTTGCCTCCATATACAATTTCATCACCGGTTCAGCAATTCTTTTCCAACCAAAATCTGCACCAACTGGAATGGTTTCCCAATCAAACATCCTACTCCACCTACAAGGAAGGGAAAAAAAATTAAGAAAGTAAACCTGCATCATAAAGACTTAATGCAAAGAGTTACATTGTATTTATACAACAGAATCTCTCCTAGAGGAGACACTGTCACTTTTATAGAGCTTTACTTCGACTCTGCATCAATAAAGAAAAAAAAGCATCATTGAAAATAGTGCCCATCCTTTTCAAGCAGGCAATAGTCCATTTGCAACAAAGCCAACAGTGCCAAAGCTAGATTTCAAATGTGTAACATAAATATACCTTATGAAGTATCCATGCTCAGCTGCTAATCCTAGATTCTCACATTGAGCAAACCAGTCACTCAGGGAGTTTCGCCCCCTACCACTAACTATAAAGACAGTGTTCTTGGAATCACTGCATAGATTATTCAGGACTGAGATAACTTCAGGACTGGGGCTTTTAATAATCGAAGCATGGGGCACCAGTGTCCCATCATAATCCAAAAATATTGCCCTTCTGCATGTCCTTTTATAAGCAGAGACAATATGATCTATCGAAAGTTTTCTAAAACTTGGAGAAAGGGACAATATCCTGAAACTCAGTCCAAAACCAATACCCCAGCAACGTTTGCTGTAATGCTCTTTGCATGCCCTCTCCAAATCTTGCACAAAACTCCGGGCCCAATAAGCCACATCATGAGAACTAACATAGCGATAGTGCTTCTCATGCCGTAATTGCTTCTCCATGTCAGGCAGTGTGATGGCCATGTTTAGTGCATCAGCTACAGCATCAATGTCCCAAGGGTTAACTCTGATTGCCCCACTTAGGGATGGTGAACAACCTATAAACTCTGAGACAACCAGCATGCTTGTACGGGGAGATCCAGAGGCAATCTGCAAAGCTTCATCCATTTTGGAAGTTCCCTGCCTACAGACAATGTACTTGTATGGAACTAGGTTCATCCCATCTCTCACTGCATTTACAATGCAACATTCTGCCAAAGCATAATAAGCAGTCTTCTCATAGAAAGGGACACGACGATCAATCAGGACCACTGGTTCATATCCTGGAAAACCAAAAATATCATTTATCCTTTTAGTACTCTCGTATGTTTCCCTTTTTGCTTCCTCAACATCTTTCCCAGCACTTCTTGCAGGATTTACAATTTGAACCAGGACTATTTTGCCTCGCAACTCTGTATGCTGCTGTAAAAGCTGTTCCATAGCTAATACTTTTAGACTAATGCCTTTAAATATGTCCATGTCATCAACACCAACAATAAGCTTCTTCCCGTTGAACTGCTCAACAATTTCTTTGACCTTAGTAGAAGAAGATGGGTGATTTAGTGCAGATTGGAGTCGACCCACATGAATCCCGACAGGCAAAATTTTTACATAGACAGTGCGACCAAAATAATCAAGTCCAATGTGTCCTCTTTTGGATTCATAGTCAAGGCCAAGCATTCTGCGACAGCATGAGAGAAAGTGGCGAGCATAGTCAAATGTATGAAAACCAATCAAATCTGCATTAAGCAGTGCTTTTAAAATTTCATCCCTGACTGGCAGGGTCCCGTATATTTCTGAGGAAGGAAATGGGCTGTGAAGGAAAAAGCCAAGCTTAATTCGATAGAATCGTTTTCTCAAAAATGTTGGGAGAACCATAAGGTGATAGTCATGAACCCATACATAATCCTCTTCAGGATTTATTACCTCCATGACCTTATCTGCAAATATCTTATTAGCGGAAAGATAAGCTTGCCAAAGCAACCTGTCAAACCGATTACCATAGTCTGGGCACATGGGTAGCATGTAATGAAAAAGAGACCATAAATGTTGCTTACAAAACCCATGGTAGAACTTTTTCTGAAGTTCAGGAGGAAGAAATGTGGGCACACAATTAAATTCCTCTAACAGTCTCCGAGAAACTTCATCTTGTTCACTTGAATCTACATCAACCTTCAAGGACCCCACGTAAACAACGTCAGTATCAGATGAAAAGCCATCCTTCATCTGTAACAAAAGAGAATCCTCATCAAAATGAAAGGACCATCGACCAGATTTCATATCTTTTTGAGCATGCAATGGAAGAAAATTTGCCACGATAATTTTCTTTTCACAGCTTTCAGAAGAGCGAGCATCAAAATCTCCATCATTGATTCTGCTACCATCTACCTTAGAAATAATTTCAGGAACAGTGATAACCCGATGAATTTTTCTATGACTTTGAGGGAAATTAAACATGTCCCCTGATGCCAAGTCCAACAAGCTTATGCTGGATCTTGATACCATCATTCCCTGAACACTCTTTTCTCTCGCTATCGGTTACTGATGCTGGAGTAACGCCCTTCCTACAGAAGAGACTTTGAGAAGGATGTTGAATTATAGGGAACCAAATAACTGCAAGAAAGTGGAAAAGAACACTCTATCACTTTGGGAAATATAGGGCTAGCCTTTAAATATGAAACTAAGAAAGTCCAAAAGATATCAAAGATGCTGTTAATAATCGAATGTTCCATTTTTTGTCACAGCTACCTATTCAAATCTTAGCATAATGCAGTGAACAAGAAATACTTGTGAGACTTATCAAGCATTTCGCAGTCCATCATGCTTCATTCCAAATCAAATATAAGAGTTTGTTAAAGATACGATTAGCATATGTTATATACATTTCATCGTGTGCTATTAACTTATGTGGCCCTTGCTGTTGCACATCCCCACAAGCCAACTGAGCAGAAACCAGCAGAACTTTGGGGCCAGATGACAGCTTACGGCTTTATCTCAACCCAGGCATGGTATATTTTGACCCACAAATTTAACAAAAATGTAAACAATTAGAGGAAACAAGAAAAAAGAAACCAGCAAGAAATCTAAAACAATCCATGACCTTGTAGGCCTACATGCAGGTTTAATATACTGGCAGGCATCAAAGAGATACATACAAGTAATTTCAACTGCATAATCCCTAGAATCAACATCATTTTGGAAGGAGATATAGCAAGGAACAAGCAAGAACTTTATGTCACTAGACCATTTTGCATTCCTAACATCTATAAATACCAAGAGGACCTAAGCTCAAACTAGGTTGAAAAAGAAAGCAAAATAAGGGAGAAAGCCCGTAGATTTCCAACAAGTGGGTAATATTTCAAGCATAGAAACCCTTACAGGTTTTTTCAAGCCGTAGATTTCCAAGAAGTGGGTAATACTTCAAGCATAGAAACCCTTACAGATTTTTTCTTTTCTTTTTTTGGATAATTAACCTTCACCTTACTGGTTTTTAACCCATTATATCCTTTATATTTTTCTCAAAATCCTATGTACCATATGCAGTTTCCATATTTAGAAAACATAGCATTATCTCTAATTGCAAGTGAACCATAAAGATCATTCTTTTATCTCAAAAATATATATGTAACAAGCAGGTTTTCAGCAGACACTGGAAACGGGACATTGTCTCTAATTAGATATTAAATGTAAAGATCAAAATTCTAGTAAAACAAAATCATCAAATAAGCACATTGTGCATATGTCAATGGAAGAATGAATATGTACAAGTAAAAAAAGAGTAGTAATGAAAAGCGAACAGATTAAAGTCATCCAAATGAAATTACCAATATTCCACCAAATAATCAGGATATGCATTTTCTAATGTCAATAAAGTTGCAAAGAAATAAAACGGGACAAACAGTGGTTTGCATCATACCGAAGAAGCAAACTAACCATAGGTGAATACTATGAAGCAACTTCAAAATATCTAATGGCTAAGCATCACTCAAACAGAATACAAAAACCCCATTAAAAGTTGGGCCATCTGTTCCAACTTAGACATCCAAATTTATTAATAAAATGGGACATCCAACTTCATATAAGAAGAAAAAACATGTGTTCATGTTATGATCTACTGACAAAAGACAAAAAGGAAGGGAAAATTTAAAAGAAAAATATAAAATGTAAATGAAAAAGATCAACTATAAGAGTGAAAGGCACACAAATAAAAAAATCAGCATACCTAAGGCTGCTCGCCGATGAGCTCTTAACAAAATCTGTCCCATTGATGTATGGCCTACATAGCCCTTTATATGCAAGTTGCACTCTACTTGATTTCTTCAAATTAAGTATCCAGATAAACTCTATACAGGGAATTTAATGTAACAAATATTCTTTTAACCCATAAGGGAATCGAATTAATTTCCTTTCAGTAATGTACTAGAAACGTGTCTGTTTTAACTTATTTGGTTCCAGCAGGATTATTAAGTCACTTATCTATTTTTCGAGTATGGACAGGACAAATATATAGATAAATGAACTATATTTTTGAAATTTTACCATATTATTTACTTCATCCTCATCTAATCTAATGATATCTGCTACAATTAAACTAAAATCTTTTCAAATAAAACCAAAAAAATGAAAAATGAAAGAAAAAAGAAAATGTCTTGTCGAAAAAAATATTTTTCTTCACGGCAGCGCCTTGTTTATGGCAAGCATTGACTCATCATTTATCAGCTTACCTGTCAACCTTTCATAGACAAAAAGGAAGATGCTTAAATTATGCAAAAAAAAAAAAAAAAAGGCAATGCGGTATTCAAGGGCCTCACCTTATTTCAATAATTACCGAAATTCTTATTCTACAATCAAAAAGGCAAATCACATGGGGTCACCTTATCTTTAATAAATGACTCACCGACTTAAAAAATCAAAAGACTAGTAATAGATTGCAGAAATGGTATTCTACTTTGGATTTTAAGGTTAGAGTTTATCTCATTTTCTAAATTTCTCCGAGAGTACTTTGTATCATTCTAACCTGGTTCCTCAATAAATTAACTGCAATAAAAATAATTCTTGGTTTTTAAAATATTTTACTTCTTGGTAAACTTTTGTCTATTGATTGTCTTAAATTGAGTTAAGAATTAGTCTGAATTAAAAAGAGTAAAAGAATTTCAGATTCTTTTTAATCCTTATGAACTGTTTCATTAATTTAAGATCAGAATATAGCCATGGAATTGATTATAAATAACTTGAATTTATTCTATAGATAATACTTTAAAAAGAATCCAATCCAAAACAAGCAGAAACAGAAGGAATGAAAATTGTGTAACATCCAGCTAAGCTCCCAAAACAATTTAGAGACATTTTCATCAGTGCAGATAACGGCTCCAGTAAAATGGAAACAAAAAGGACACACAAATACACAGGGAAGCTTAAAATTCACTCCTGAGCATCTAGATCCTTAAATTCCAATGTGATGTTTATACATGCAGATACAAAAATACATATAAACCACATATTATATTCAAAATCATTTATATGTAAGTGTAGAAAGAAGGAAACTACAGAGACAGAGTCACCCAAAATGTTACCTTTATAGAATGTTCCAGCTTGAGCAACAGTACTTTTATCTAACTCTTCAATGACACTGAACAGAAATTTCCCTGCAAGAAAGACGATCCCCTTTTTTTTTATCAGGAGAAACAAAAAGAAAACTAAAAACATGGTTGCTGCAAAGGAAAGCCCAGGAAAACTAAAATCCCACAACCCCATTTTCCCATTGCTTCCCTTAAAACTTTCCAAGCAACCAAACAAAGCTACATGAAATCATGGAAAAGACAAAAGGAAAAGCACCCTTCAACAAAGAATTAATGTGAATAAATTTGATGAAACTTACATGAGAAAATAAGTTGATAAAACATGTAAGAAAAAGAATGCAGGAAACAGCAGTTGGAGTTCAGAAACTTGGAAGGAATGGTGCATTAGGTTTAAAACTGGAGAGTTTTGAAGGGTTCGAAACCGACTAAAACCCCAACAAAAAAAAAAAAAGCAGTGAAATAAATTTTTATTTAAAGGGTTCCTTCCTTCTGGTTTGGTGTTTGGCGTGAGTTCATTCAACAAAGGAAGCTGCAAATGAGATTAAAACGTAGGAATATAAAAGTCAAAAAAGAAACAAGATTTTGACAGAGAGACAGAGAGAGAGAGAGAGAGAGAGAGAGAGAGAGAGAGAGAAGAGCAACCCATCCCCACCCCAAAGCATGTACAGTAGAGTACAAGTCTGGTTGGTCTTACGTTATAGTCCTGCGAGTTTGTCTTCCCTCATACGCCCCTTTTTTTCTTTCCTTATTACATTGCTGCCATTTTCCTTTTATCTGCTTTTTTGGCTTTAAAAAAAATCCATCAAATTGAACATAATCCAAATCTAAGTTGTCAAATGCAAAATATTATTCCATTTAAAATACAACTGAAAATGCATACGAGTATTCCATATTTCAATTACAAATGCAAGTATTTTATTATTTTTATTTTTATTTTTTCTTAGATATTATAGAAATTTTTAAAAAAAATGCAAAAACCAAGAAGAACAATGAAGGGTGGAATGGGTACTTTATCACAATCTTTATCTTGATGTTCAAAAAGCCATCTATACTTTAGGTTTACCTAAGACCTACCATTAAATCTTAAAAAACAAAAGTAAAAAATAAAAAAGCTCTCCTTGTCTCAATAAAAAAACATTATCCTCTCTTTTATCTACACCAATTTTCCTCAATATATAAATATATCCTTTTTGTTGCTACTTTCTTAGTAGTACTAAAAAAATTCATGGTTCTTTTTATAATATAATTAACATTTTTTCGGGATTTACTTAAACTTATTTTTTTAAAGAAAATTTAAGAACACATTTCACTTCATCGATTTAGTGTAATAAAAATTTTACTTACAATAATCTTTTATGTTTATTTATTAAACTACATGCGGATAATCATAGACTCAGTCCCACATTAGTCATCGTAAAATTATTTTTTAAAAAAATCAACGCAAGCCTGGTATAGAAGAATAATTAGGTAGCTTTTGTCTCTCGTGATTATCCCAAATCCGTATGTATCCCGTTAAGGTTTTCTTTAAGCGTTTATTTTAACAAATTGAGAATAAAATAGAAGTGCTCAATCAACACGTTTTGCGGGACTCCAACTTTTTTATTATTTTTTTTCAAACCCACAATGTGGCTAATCTTATCTTACATATTACAATTTGTTTTAAAGTGATTATCTTTTTTATCGTTCCTTGTCAAATTTTTTTATCCTTATCCTCCTTTCACTTTTTGTATATATTTTTAAATTTATCTGTTTATAAAATAATAATAATAATAATAATAAAATATTATATTTATATAAAATATTACTAAATTAAACCAAATAAATAAATAATTAAGTTTTAATTTAATTTAATCAATTCGTACAATTAATTTTTTAAAAAATATATAATAATTTTAAATTTTAATTTTAATTCTTTCAATATTTTTCTTTACTCCAAACTTAAATATTTTATGTCTCATTTGAACTTAAGATTTTAAAATATTTTTTCATCATTAAATCAAAATATTATAGTCCATTCACTTTTTTAATAATTTAATCAATTCATACAATTAATTTTTTTTAAAAATATATAATAATTTTAAATTTTAAATTTTAATTTCTTTCATTATTTTTCTTTACGCCAAACTTAAATATTTTATGTCTCATTTGAACTTAAGATTTTAAAATATTTTTTCATCATTAAATCAAAATATTATAGTCCATTCACTTTTTTTTATAACTTAATAATGAAAGAATAGGATTAACTTCCAATCAAATAAAATTAATTTTTTATTTTTCTTGTACGTTTTTGAGTTGCTATAAAGAATGAAAGTGCATGGATGTTTTAAATTTTAAATAATTCTCTTGCATTTAGAATACAAATTGTCGTTTCGAATGAAAAATGATGGTATTAGGTAGATTATTAAAAGAGATGAAAAAAAAAAAAAAAAAAAAGCAATCACAAGTTTGCAATTTTGGTCATTTATATATTCCTTATGTGAGATGAAGATAAACGAGTAAACGTATCTTATCTGTAAGTTGTTAAAAATAACTCAATTTTAAAGCTAAACAATTTATTAAATAAAAACTCAATAATTTTTTTGATAATTAAAAACTCAATAATAGAAAGTGAATTCACCTAACGCGGTAAAACTTAGGAGATTTTATGATTTACTTTGTTACTTTTATTGAAGGAGATAATTCTAAATATTTGTTTCTTAATTTGGAAGTTAAAATCATTTATTAATTGAAATCAAAATTTAATTTAATTAATTTATATAATTTTTTTATTTAAAACTTTTTAATATCCTATTATCATTCTAAATTTTGATCAATTTAAAATCGAATAAGATCATACTTTATAAGAGAAATAAATTTAAAAATAAATTCACATAAGATTAAAAATAATTAATTTATATAATTATTATTAAAAATAATATCCATTGATGTAACTTTAAATTTAAAATTTTGCATGCTGTGATTTTCTTTGTAAAAAAAAAAATTATTGACTTTCGTATTTGAAAAAAAACGGAAAGTAATGAATATTTAACAAAATATTGCAACAATCAACGATAACGAGCGGCAAGGAAGATGAAAAGGGTGGTGGTAGATACTATATGAAACAGTAAGTAACGCAAATCAAGTTTTTAATTGGTCAATCCCTCGATTTGATAGGTTTATGAAAACGTAGGGACATGATGAGCTGTGAATGTAAAATCAAATTTTTTTTTTTTATTAAGCAGCTATAGGAGTTGCAAGATGAGAGCCATGGGAAGGGATGGGAGGTAGTGAGTGAATCGGGCGCGTGAACCGACAAGGCACGCGGCTGCTCGACCCCGCCATTCCCCATTTAGCCGCTTCCCCTCTGGCATAGCACGACACAATACTGGCATCCATCACTTTCCTAGTACTAATTTCCTTTTCGTTGGATAAGATAAGCGGCCTAACCGCATTTACTCAAATTTCGTTGCCTTTCACTGTTTCTTTTACCATCCTACCCTCATGTCATAATAATTTGTGTAATTTCTGATTTATGTCCACTACAGGAAATATATATTCGATACGGTAGTTTTATAAAAATAATAATTTGCTAATTGTTTCACCTTATATGCCCTTATAAGCTCAAACCAAAACTTTATTTACAATAATTTATTTCTAAATAATAATTATAAAATTAATAAAAGGCTACTTATAGGGGTAGCAAACGTTTAATTGATTAAAAAAATTTATTTCATTGGTTTGATTCAAATTCAATTCATTCAATTTAATTAAAAAATCAACAATCCAATTCAAGTTGATCCGAATATAAATTGATTCAAGATCAATTTTATCATAATTTAAATTAACTTACACCTAACCTCATTCAAATCAAATTGATTCAAACTGAAATTAACTCCAACTAAAATTGATTTAAATCAAATTGATCCAAATTCAAATTAATTCAAACTTATGACATGATTTATAGGTTTGTAATTAAATTAGAGGTTTCAATTTGTTTTTGTTGAAATTTTACCTTTTACTTTTTGAAGCAAAAAAAAAATCAAAAGACAAAAGATAATCAGTTAATTAATTTAATATTATATATCAAAATTTATTAATTTACTATTATTTATTAATAACTATTAAATTTAAATATTAATTACTAATTTTAAACAAAATATAATTTAAAGGTAAAAAATAATATTTATTTTAATTGTTAAATGTAATAATCTTATAATATATAAGTAATTAGTTTTAAGATTAATAATATTAAACAAATAAACTTCTTAAGTTTTTTATGAACAAAATTAAAAAAATTATATAGTATAATTTGCATATAACAATTATAGTTATATTGATTTTGTTATAAATAAAATTAACATTCAAAATCAAATGTTATACTTTAAAATTAAAAATTAAAACCAAATCAATAAGTCAAGATATGTCAAAACATGCATAGGCAATAGGTAATTGTGCCATCTTCATTTTTTGTTGTACATTTGTACCATTTGCTATTCAAAAGAGTAATTATTTAAATTAAATTAATATTATGTCTAAGTAATTTTGATTTTTTTATTTTAAGATTAACTATTATGCTAATTAAGTAATCAATAACAATAGTATTATTTTTTATATTATCGCACTTTTTAATGGTGACTCTATGATTAAATTATATAATTATTTGTTTATTTTTAATTTATTGATGAATATAATTGTATAAAATATCAAAATAAATCATTAATAACAAATTAATAGTTAATACATTAAATATTAAAAATAATATTAAATATTAGTCAATAGGAGATTTTTAATAAATTTTTATCATAAACAAAGTTAATTTTATATTTAATGTGACAGTTTCATAATTTTAGCATAGTTCTTTTAAATCATTTAACGTTAACATTTTAATTTTTATATAATTCAATTATATTTATTTGATTTTCAATTATATTTACTTGATTTTAGAAGTTAACAAATTAAATATGAATAACCAAAGTGTTAAATTTAGGGATGTAATTGAGCGAGTCAATATAGTGAAAGCTCGAACTCAACTTATAATTTGTTATCTAAAACTTGATTTGAGCTTGATCAAGTTTTAATTTTCAAATTCAAACTCGACGTGAAATAAAAATTAATTTACTTAAACTCTTTCAATTAGATTTATTTATTAAATAAAAAATGTGCTCATACTTTAACTCAATTATTTATATTCGACTTATAACTCGAATTGATATGCTGAGAGTAAAATAGTAATTTTAAATAAAATAATCAAAATATATATTAAAATATAAATATTACAAATTACTCAAGTTAAATATTATGATATTTAAATTTGACCCACTTAATAAGTCGAATTACTTGAGTTTAGTTCGATAATGATTAAGTTAAATTCAAATTTTATTGAGTCAAACTTGAATAGTGTATGAAGATTGGTGAATCATTTATATCTCTAATTAAATCCAATAATTTGAGTTTCAAATTTAAAAATCTAAAATCTAAATGAGTCAAACCCAAAATGATTCAAACATAAAATTGATCTACAAATGATCTCACAACTGAAATGATCCAATTTTGCTTGATTCAAACATAACTTGATCCTAAACTTGAAATGATCCAATCATTTCTTAACCCAAATTTAATATAATTCAA